TGGCAAGAGAGGATAGACACACTGCTCACGCAGGGATCCTACGCTACAGTTAATCCTTACTGGACCTCAGAGAATACACGCTGTCATTTACTCTTCAATCACAAAGTCATGGGAAACCAAGCTTCACTGGTTCCCTTGGTCACTGAAATATTAACTGTCAGTACGAAAAGGACACTAGGCCTACACACGTATACAATGTCAGGATACTGAGTGCAGTGGAGGTATGACTATCTGCTTTGAGCCATATATATTCCGGGCAAATACACCTTGGATTGTGCACCAGAACTGAAGCACAACACAGCAAAGCCAGCACAACCTCTGGCATGCCATAAGAATGGGTGAAAAATGAACAGAATTGCTTGACAATGAAAAAAATTATACATTTCTGAATCTTCTTATTTCAAAATGAGCCATAGAATAGGTCATATAATCCATAATGGCAAAATGAATATATTATGAATGATTTATCATTATGGAAATGCGCAGATGCTTATTGGTGACATGAGTCATATAACATGCAATTTTCACACAATATGTTGTTAATAATGGATAAGGATTTATCAGTATATTCTTATATAAAGAAATATTAAAACTTGTTCTTTCACTGGAATCAAATAACTTACTGTGCATTGAGTTGCTTCTGAAATTGAGCTACTCTTGTCATTACTACTAATTACATTTTAATGTCGAATTTTTAAAGCAGATATACATCAAGTCACTGCAGTAACTCATCACAGATCAGATATCCACCTTACTGTTGTACCACTAAGCCAAAATAAATGCTCTTTCCTGTGCCTGCCTACACTAAATGAAGAGAAAAAAAGAAGCAAGTGCTACCTTGTCCTAGTTTGTAGCACACACCTGCAGAAAAACTCTTTAAATTGGCCCTGCCTGTGAGGTTTGTTTCACATGTAGATGGGATGGCTTGCTGCTATTTAACTGGGGAATTTTCAAAACAGAAGTTCAATTATGGTCAAGTTCTCTGAATAGCTTGGCTGACGAGTGATGTAAGATAGCAAGACAAAACAAACAAGTGTGGGACAAGAGGCTAGGAACTCAAAAGTTGTTTTCAGCAATACTTGGAGCCCCCTCTCTTCCATATGCCTTAATCAGATCCTTTGTGGATCAAGCTGGAGCAATTCAATAGACAGCCCTCATCCCCAACACTGTTGCCACCAACAAATGTGTCTTCCCTCCACAAATAAATAATTTTAATAGATCATGCCAGGATGCCTCAGCTGCCTCAGTTTGAAGTCAGCTGGGCCAGCTTATGCCACTACTGAAGATGGTCTAAACACAGCAGAATTTGCAGTCACATTGATGAAGAATGCTCACATTATCCATTCTGGTACTTGAGCGCTAAGGTCTGACAAGTCCTTCCTCAGGAAAGATAATGAACAATCATCGTAACTGCTTGACTTGAAATTTCCAAAGAGTTCCTGCTGTAGAGCCATCAAAGGCAAATTAATCAATAAGAAAGCATAGGGACATACAATTCTGACTGCTTGGCATGCAAAATACCTGAAAACTTCACTTCATGTTGATTAGATCAACATACATAGGAGACAAACTGAATTTCAAGAAAGCCTGATGAGGCTTAGACAACAGCAATACATTTTCCTCTTCTGTCTAGGGAAAGCAGAATTTGTATTTGTGCCAAACAATGCAGGAGAGTTTTTGTATCTTGCCAATTCCATTTAATTTAGAAAGCAAATATCTTCACACAGTTAATTGAAAGACCATTGATCAAGAGAGGTTCATAAACCAGCATCTAGGTAAAAGGAAAGCCCAATGGTAAATGACCACATGTTAGATAGACATTAGCACATGAATTGCATTCATTATTGTCTTTATTGTTACCATAAAGAAAAGGAACTTGGAAAATCCATCTGTTCCCACAGATGGAAGCCCCCTGACATGAGGCTCTGGAGAGTCAGGAACCCGCACTTAGCCCTCAGTGAAAAGAGACAATTGCTCCCCTGACCTGCCAGAGCACTAAGAGGACATGGGCTCCTTTTAGAGGTCTTCCCCACTGACATCCTTCTTTTATTCCCTCTGTTTTCCAACGAATTTGGCCCAGATTTGCAAATACCAAAATTCTGGTATCCCCAAAACTCCATTTCCCTGCCAAGAATATTATTATTTTAAAAAAAAAAAAAGTTATCTATTCTGAGAGGTGGCTAATAGCAACGCACTCTGAGGACAGATGATGCTTTCTTACTTCCTGCATACATTTGTTCATGTATGTACATACAACCACTCTTCATGAATCATTACTGGTCCAGTATCTTTTCCCTTCCCACCTGCCACATCCCACTCTAAAACAACATCTTGTAGAACAGTCTCAGTGAATGCAAAGGGGAAGCATTGTCCCTTGAGACTATGCAGAACTGTGCTTATTCCCATCATACTTCACTTTTTCCAGCAGTTTTCTGAAGGAAGCACCAGATCTTTGAACCCAACTTTTTCTGCTGTCAGCCAGGGCCAGAAGGATTGCATATAGCAAAGAAACAATGAGAAATGAATGTAAATAGTGTCTACAACAACGAGGGAAAGCAGCACACAAAAGCCAGTAACTGATTAAAATGCATTCTTTTCTCACAGGGGCTCCTAATTAGCTCACTACTACCACTGAAATCTATTTTAACAATTTAATGGTCTCCTGTCACATAAAAAATGGGCAGAATCTTTCATACCCTCTCCACCTGAGAAAGTTCACCTGAGAGAAACTGTTACCTTTTCACTTCCAGCTCTGTCAGTGGGATTTCCCTCTCCCCTGGGAAGGGAGGCATTTCCCCACACACACTATGCCAGGCAGGTTCACCTCAGATACCAGTAGCAGGCCACCTGGGTAGACACACAACACCCCACAGCTCTCCCCCCATAGCTGTGCTTCTGGATGTTACCTCTACATCTGGTTCCCAGGTCAGCATTCTCATCTGGTTGACCCCTTAGTCTCAGCCCCACCACCTTAGCTCAGCTAGCATGGCAAACCAATGCTCCGGTGTCCAAAAGCCTAATGGCCCTTATCTCGGGCATGGGATTACTCCTGATCCCTGAACTCAACCCCCGGAGTTCAGAGAGCTCATGGGAGAAAATCCAGCACCCTTCTGGTGCAGGTACACTATTTATCTGGAATGAATATGGGGAATGGTGGCAGGTGGGTGGGCACTGAAGCCGGGCTAAGAGAGTGGTATTTCATAGGAATTACCAGGCAAGATCATACACACTGCCTAGCTAGTCCACTGTTTGCCAGAGGGTTCACTAGACAGTATGAGAGTCTGATAGTAGGCACTGTACAATATCTCCCCAGCCCCCTCATCTCATCCTCTCCTCAAGAGAGCTTCAAATTCCCTCTAAATTGCTTACTCTTGTCACCTTCAAGGAGACACCCCCAACCCACTTCTCTCCTACCCGAGATGATCCCCAGTAATTAGAGGAGTTGGGGGACACAGGAACCATGTATCTATGGGGAATGGGGACAAGATGGTCCAAGCTTGGAAGACAGGGCTTCTGCTTCTCCTGCTATTGATGAGTATTACATTATGGGAGAGGGAAAGAAGGAGAAGTTGTTATTTCTCCCAAGGAGATAATTCATTGGACTTTCTTTTTCTTCTTTTTTCACTTTAAGTGGCTCTAGTAAACAATTTAGGTGATAGGTTTAGTGTTTCCTGTTATCTTGATCAACTTAGAGGTGCAGTCATGTCAGAGCAGTTTCCAGCATACGACCTGTGGTTCTCATGAGTCCGAAAGGAGGTTTGAGTATCTTGTTAGCTCTAATACAAAGCTGCTTAAGGCCTCCAGGATCTGTTTTGGAGAATCTAAGGCAGAAATGACTCCATGCATGCCACACAACTTTAAACCTATAAAAACAGCCAACTTAATTCTAAAATGAGGTTACTTGCATATCCTTCAGCTCTACAGTGCAGTAAACACAGTAACATACTGTCAACTGATAAACAGTCCATACTACCCATGCTGCCCACAGCATAAAACATGTTCTCTTGGGACAACTTTGCCAGTGCTGTGATGGAACGGACATTTTACAACCCTGGTGCTGAATTGCAAAATAACTTGTCTAGAGTCCAATTTTCCAGTATGAGTATTTACCATGTGCAATCAGATTTCTCCTTATGCAGCTGATTTTAAGCATTAACATACGAGATTTAGGCAATCATTTCAAGAACTTAAGAATAACAAATGGAAGAACAACACAATATGCCTTTTTTATGGCAGTCTGGCTCACCAGCCTATCTAGCAACCAATTCAACATGTGCTTTAAGGGCATATTTAGTGTGCAGTCTGAATCCCCTTCTGGGACAGAACACGCATGGGCAGTCCAGTGCTTTCACCACATGCAGCAAAGCGGCAGATGCCCTTTTAAAAACTGCTGTTGGAAATTTGGCCTTAAGAATATAGATCTAACATGACCTTTGAAATTTCTAAAAACTTAACTGATGAACACGAATTAACGTGTTCAATTTAGAGCATAGACACTATGTACGTCAATAGGTCTCATCAATGCGTAACATCTCTTGTGACCTGATCAACCACTTCAATAGACAGCACTTGATTTCAATGGGCCAAATGTCCCTAGTTGTAAATAACTATAAACAAGCATTATATGGTCCAAAAGGACCATTTAAGCAGAAGAATCCTTCTGAGAACACTGATACAAAAGAAAGAAACAAGGTGGTTTTGTCTACTAGTGATGGAACATTGTGGCTGTTTTAAGTCCCTACTGTTATGGCTCTCAAGTTTAGCTAATTAAGACATATTTCACCAGAAGAAAATACTTGTAAAGTCACCGTGTCCCTAACAAGAAGCTATGTTGGTTAAAAACGTTCACAAAAGAAATTCCCAATATTCTTCAAATATATTCAAATTATTTCCCTAATTAATACTAAGAATTGAAGCTTTTGAGACTGATGTCATAGGGAACAAAATCTTTTTGTTTTCTGACCATATAAAATGATGGCAGTTTTCTTTTCAGTACAGATTCTGAGCTCTCTAAGTAAGCTTAATTTGAGAAAAATGAAAGTAATTTCAACCAAGGAGTTGATTTTATTTGCTTTAGCTACAGTGGTCTTTCTAACATCGAATAGTATGTGCCTAGATGAACTGATGAAGTCCAGTCTGCAGAGCAGAGAAGACGATGATGATAAATATTACGAGGTAAGATCTGTATTACTATGACATTATTTGGGGGAACTGTGGGTCAGATACTGAGCACTTTCAATTTTCTGGCAAAGACTCTCCTAACTTCATTGCACGGTATTCAGCATTATAACACTAGCAGTATGAAAAAGGCTTGTTGAAAGAATTTTCAGGAAATTCATTTGCTCAGACACACACACTGTGTAAATCAATTCATGTTTCAATTTTCTTGCAATACAGCCTTGCGATCAGGTTGAGACTTTTTCTGAAATGCTTCTTACTTACACAGTGGGGCCTAAATTAACATTCCTGTCAGGCACTTTATGCACATAATATAACAGATACATTATTAATCCAAAATTAATAAAGGCATGCTTGTAATACTCAAAGAATAATGATAAACAGAGAACATTATAAATCTAATATAGTTAATGGTCTTAAAATTCTACTCTGGAAATTGACTATAAAAATATCTTTGCAGGGTTGCACATTTATTATGTCTCAACAGATGCCAAATCAAATTTGCACAGTTCATCTGTATTATTTTTCTTGTCTGCCCTGCAAATACTCCCTGGGAAATGAGAGCCAACCTCTCTTTTTGACTCATCATCATTGGTGTAATAAAGATCCTTCAAACCAAAATACAACTTTAATTATGCTAGTGAAATCCTCTGGTCTTCAGCTCACTGTCTTTTATATACTTTAGACAGCGTGCACAGGTGCAATCAGAGGGATAGTTTATTTAATATTTTAATCATGGAGTATGAACTAGAATGGTTCATTCCCCTTCTCTCCCAGTAGCTGGAGAAGCTCCTGGGAAAGTCACCAAATGGGGATAAGGAACTGAAATTAGGATTAGTAGCATTTTTGTCTTCAACTGAAATTAAAAAACATATTTTTACATATTTGCTGTTAAGGCTTGGAACTTATTTTTTTCACAAAAATAAGTGATTTTCAATATGCTCAGGGCAGGAACACTGCTATATAGGAAATGGTCATGTTGATACAGCTATTTTTCAGGCAACAGCTGCCCTTTACATCAAGAGACAGGTAATATACTAGGCTCAGTTCTCACTGTATGCCAGCACAGACACAAAAGTAGATTTTGTGCTGGTTACACAAAAATCAGGAGCCCAGGAGCTCCTAATGCATCTTGTGTACTAGTGGAGGATTAGAGAAACTTAAAGCCCAGGGCAATCTCTATGCTGCAAGGCCAGAATAGGCATGATGTGGACTTGACCCAAACGCTTTCCATTCATTTCCCCAGCTGTTAGCCCAGCAGGATATTGGGTCAAAAGCATCCACCCAGTGCTTAGGAAGAAATCCTACCTTCAGGTAGCGTGGCCCATCCTCCTGTTCATCCAGACCAGATGAGTAAGAGGCTGGTCTGTGTCAAGTCACTAAATATAGTCAGCATCTTCCCCTCCAGACAGCTTCAGTTGGTGATATAAGCAAATATGGACCTGACAATGACTCCTGTCCACACTTAACTGATGGCCCAGGTACTGACACCTATGCTCAGAAATATTTCCAATTGACACCATTTGAACAGTTGTGTATACTGACACGGCGATGTGCTCCTGTGGTCAGTGTACTGAAAAAGTAAGCAGGACAATGTCTGCATATGAAGAAATCCATATAAAGTAGCTCACACTACAATGGAGTTTAGCAAATACAGCTAAAAAGCATTAGATATCCAAAAAAGCGTGTGACCCAGCAGCTTTCTAAGGAGATATGAAAAGGAATGCTTTGTGTGATTGGTAGCTGGAATAATGCCCTATAAAATGATAGCAACCTTTTTTTAATTCTTTTTCTTTAGATTAAAGATAATATCTTGGAAGAAAAGCAGAGGAGTCTCAATTTTGAAGAAATGAAAGACTGGGGATCAAAAAATATCATTAAAATGAACCCTGCTACGGTAAACAAGATGCCAAATTCAGTTGCTAATTTACCTCTTAGGTTTGGAAGAAATTATCCAGAAGAAAGAAGCATTAAACCAATTGCTAATTTGCCCCTGAGATTTGGGAGAGCTTTTGGAGAGAACATATCTAGGCGTGCTCCAAAGGTTTCACATAGGCTTGGGAGATCTCCACTTGTTAAAAGTTCCGGTCAATCACTTCTAAATTTGCCACAGAGGTTTGGGAAGTCACTGTCCGTCAGACTGCCTCAAGATGCTCAGGAATCTGAACCAGGTAATACTATTCAAGCGTTCAAGCCATATATTAAAATGCATATTAAATCTGGCTAGCGATGATCAAATACAACAAGACTTCCTCAAGGGATATTCCCTAAGCATTTCAATATGAGTCCAATTTGCCAAAAGAAAGATTTGCAGTTCATCAAATCAAAAAGTCTCATCACAAGAACTAGCAGAGAATATCTTTATGAAACCTTTTCTAATGAGAAGATGTCAAATAGCCAAAGCCAAAAATGTTCATATGACAAGATTAGGTTTGACAACACTTTTTTAGATCAGGTTTCATCTTGAAAAGTTTAAAGCTTTGGCAAAAAAGGTTCAGAATCGTTAAAATATCCCATTTCAGCACTATAAAATGACCAAACAAAACTACCTAAAAATTACTCTTCCATTTTCTAAATTTATGCAAATTAGAGCTTAAAAAAAGACAAAATTCCAAGCTAAATTGCAGCATTTTGAAAATGTTGGATTTTTTCTCATCCAAACCTATTTTTTTTTCAGATTGTCTTACTGAGACAATGTTTGAGATTTTGATTTTTCATGCCAAGTTAAGATGAAAAATTTTTTTTGACATCTCAGAAATTTTTTCAGGATAGGAAAAATATTTCCTGCCCATTACTAAGAATAATTTAAACCAGCTTGTCAATAACAGTCCTTCTTATCATATCTGCTGCTTTATCTGAACTGTCCATTTGTCTTGGAACCAAGTTTCAGTTGGCTACCCCTGACTTGCATCTGACACATGCGTAAAGTAGAAGTTCAGGGAAGGAAAGATAACTGATACATCAGAAGCCAAGATTCTTTCTTATTTAATTTGTTTCCTTTTATTCCTTTCTCACTGTCTCACCTGATTGTAACAAATTATGTTTTATTTGTCTGATATTTTTAGGGATATGAATTCTAACAGTTATGTTAATACTGGAATGAAATCGTGAAGACAGAAACTGGGACACTTGGAAAAGCTGCAATGTGTTTTCAAAACTAAAGAAAGATCATGAAAAGGAAACATATGAGAACTGAAATGTAAACCTGTCTTCACGTTATGAATAATGTATTTATTCTGTACAAACCCTTGATGTATAAGGCAATGATAATTGTAGTGATCATTGTAGTAGTTTACTTCAGTGGCAGTGTAGTATGAATTCTATTTACTTCTGTGCGACTTACGTCCTGTTGGTTGTAAAACCTAATTTCAGAACAATGGCTGTATAATTGAAAGCATTTTAAGCAAAAATAAAAGAAGCATAGTATGAATACAGAAGCATGGTACAAATAAAAAGAAGCCTATGATGTGAATAACAAACAGAAGCAGGATCAAAACCACCAGTACTGTTTGTGTCATATGCAGATAAAGAAAAACAAGTAAAATGTAGAAAAAGCACTTTTCCTGTTGTTTATGAGTCATGTTAGATGTAAATCTGAAAGGCGACTTGTCAAGAATTTGCCACAAATAAAACCTAGCTTCTTGGAACACCCCCAGAGGAATAACATCTAACCAACGTCATCTTGTAATGCAATTATCTTGGGTTTTATATCTGAGATAATGCCCTCCCTAATGTCCTACAAGATCTGTAACCGGTGGGTGTCCCGATTCCTCTGTTAATGTAAATGACAGTACAGCTACCAGATACACATGCAGAAGGGGCTACTCCATTACAAGCCCATATTTCCATTTCATATTTCTTATGAAACCATTCCCTTCTAAGTGTAATATGGTGTGTTTAGGCTTCCTCCAAACCTGAGTTTTCAGTAAGCTTTGAAGAGAAGCTGAATTTGCACCTGTTACAGGGAAGCCAAATCTGGTGGACTACAGGATCTAAGGGATTCTTTCTTTTGGCCCTCAGATGCTGCATTACCTTGACACCAGGTCTGGCCAACGGTGGGGCTAGGCATCCCCAAAAAAACACACCACACGTACATACACACACTATACAGCCACAGCTGACTACCAACAGACAAGAGAGCAGCACCTTTACAGTCTCCACATACATACCGACAAGACTCACATAAACATACAAATGGGCTGATCCTCTTCTCACTCACAGGCTAATCAGACTGAAAGCTTGCTAGCAGATCTCCCACCTAAACACATGCAAACAGGTTCCTCCAGTAGCTGTTCCAGACCGGTGGTCTCTGCAGCTCTCAGACCCTTGGCCCCTCCACTGTCCGACCTATGGTCTCTCTGGTAGCTGGCTCCCACACATCTTCTCCTGCTCATCAGTTAGTCCAGCTTTAAATTCATATTAGAATCACACACACAGATGTGTCCCTTCATCAGCAGCTGCTAGATGCTCAGTCTGTTCAATAGCTGGTATCCGGACAATCAGTCTCTCCAGTTGCTAGCCCTCAGACCTGCAGGTCCCTTCAACCCCTGGTCTCTATCTCCAGTTGCTGGCACTCAGACCACTCACCCTACTTGTCAGCTAGCCTGGCTTGAAATTTGCTAGCAGATCATACACACACACACGCACACAGAATAGAAAGCACAGTCACACAGGAACACGTTCAATTATTGAGTTTAACAAGAAGATAGGACACACTGTGATGATCAGGCACAGGGCATAGCCTGACAAAAAATACTGACAGCAGCTTGACTGCATGCAGCCAACCTCTTTTATCCCCCCTCTTCCCCATTTTCCCATGCTTGTTCTTCCCCCACCTATCTTGATCCCTCCCTTTGACTGTCTTTGGCTCTCCCCTAAATATCCCAAAATAAGTTTAGCACTTTCCCACATCCCTTAAAACATCCGTAATAAGTTTTATGGGATCCTACCAGCCCCCTCAAGTATCCTATCATAAGTTTGCTCTTTCCCACGAGATCCGTGATAACCAGTTACAGAGCTCTGGCTGAACCTCCTAAAGGCATTGATTGGTTCCTTTAAGGTCCCATCAATCAGTGATCTAAGAGTTCTGCTCTTTGTTACTGTCTTGTTATCTCCTTTTCCTTGGGGTCTGGGTATCTGAGAGTTTAATTTATTACTTCTCCTGTCTCTTGTCTTTTAGTCTTTTACGCTGAATAACCAGTAACCAGATATCCTTACATTCCACATATCTTTAGAGGAACCTGGAAAAAATCCTGATTAAATGGATCCTTTTTATCAGATAAATTCATAGTTGGGACAGAGCCTGGGTTGCCATTCGTCTACGAAGTTAACATGGCTACTTGAAACACAACACTATTCAACCTGTCACTGGTGAATTTAATTCAATCCAAAGTAATGAGACCACAGTCCTGAGAATACCTAGTCTCTCTACTCACTCAGACTTGAAATACCAAAGAGAGAGGGACATCTAAACAGATTATAAACAAAGAGATTGTACCTCTTGAAAGTAAGAGTCCCCAACCAATCTTTGGGCTTCTCTCTGAGTCTCAGAAAACACTCTACCTAACAAGTGCTGGTGAAACACCAGTTTTGCAGCATAACACTTGAGTACTGCAGTGAAGACCATGCTGAAGGACACTGATCAACAAATTGTCTATGTGGGGGAAAGTCCAGGACCCAGCCTATGAAGCAGAAGTCTTGCCATTGCCTGCCACCAGAACAGGTGGCTATTCTTTCTGCAGTCAGGAAAACTGTGGGATTTTTTTAGTGATTTACAGTCAAATGAACACCAGAAGGAAATGCCCTGAACTTTGAGTTGTGTTCTGGTCCTGCAAACCTCACTGCACATCATGTGAACCAAGAGCAAACAAGATTTGTGAGAATCCCTGAGCAGCAATAGGATGTGCTTTTTTTAAGGCACATATCACCTAGCAACAGGGAAAGGGTACACATCAATTGGCATTAATGATGGCTGCTATGGGAGGAAAGCAGAAGCTCAAACATTGGCCCAGCAGCAAGTACAATTAGGTTGCCCTCTTATTGCAAGCTCCATAGCACAGATATAGGAGATGGCTGTTGATTTATTTTCCCTCAGCAAAGGAAGAGCTAGGTGAAAAGTACATAAAGGAGGAATTATGCTATGCTGTGCAAAATTTCTGTTTGGTTTGAGAGCATGTGAGCCAAGAAAACAATCACTGGATAGTGCAACGGGAAGAGAAAGGGCACAACAGGCAACATACATTGCTGTAGCTATTACTCACCGGGTTATTTATTATCCATATACAGATATTATTCATGAATTGGGAAAAAGCAAGGAAAGGACTCAAGTAAATCAAGTGACAGACTCTCGAGGCTTACCGGCATGAATTCTAGTAGGGTTCAGGAGCTCCCAGCCCTTCCTGTCATACACAGAGTATTTATGTCTGTTATTAAAGCCTCCATGCAAAAACAACAGCAGGCTTGTTTTAGATTCTGACTTAAGCTTATAGAGAGGACAGCTGACAATCTACTGATTAATTTATAAGTCTGAGGGCTCATCATGTTGTTTATTTCAATATATCATTTGGACAGATTTAGTGCAATGTAAAGAGACACTGTTGTTTTACCCTCAGAAGAAGGCAAAGACTTGGGCATCTGACATTTGAAATCTTTCAGTCTTAGATTCACTTCAACTGCTTTTGCAACTGCCTTTTGCATTTTCTTCAAAAGATGACAACTGGGCTAGCCTTGGTCATCACAGACCACTAGAAATTTCCAAACACTGAAAAAGACATTTTAAAGATTGCCCCCTCTTGAAGAGTACCCATTAGCAGGAATTGGAAATGTTTTCATTAGTGACACCCACTAAAGTACATCTAGCACAGACGCATGGACACCCATAGATATCCAATTCACGCTTGTGCTGCTCTCATGATGACATAAGGTGTAGAAGGGCCTCAGCTAGTGCCACTCAGATCTTTTGTAGCACAGAATACGGATGAGAAAAATCTGCACTATTCGGAAGGGAAAAAGAGGCTTAAGGTACCCTTTTGTGTGTTTTATTTCAAAGAACGATGGACAGTGTAAAATATATTTTTTTCTTCTTTTCATACCTATGCATGTGGATCCTATGAAGTGATTAGCCAGAAGTTCGGTCCTATGGCCTTACCGGGAACCATATTCAATTAAAATTTTGGTGAAAACCAGCAAAAAATGTGTTTCTCCTACAGATGTCATCCCAATTATCTTAGAGCCCTAAAGTTAACTGGCGGAAGACATATTCTAGATAGGCTTTCAGAAAACTCAGATATATTTGTAGGCTACCATTGTACTTGTATTATAAGAAAAGTACATGCTTTCAATAGTTTTCTAAAACCAGAAGGTATTAAATGCTATTCAAGTTCATTCCATCCCTTTATGACCATCCTCCAACGTGCTGATAGTGCATAAAGCAAAAGGAAAACCAGAAGGTTGTTTCTATTTTTTGCAAGTCTTAAAAAAAGAGTCAGGTGATTAAGACAGACATAGATCAGAAAAACCTTGCACAGGAAAATTCATTTTGCTACATCCCAGATTTTCCGAGGCACCCAACTACTGTCTTGTCTCACACAGCAGCACCTCAGCAGATAATTCTTTCTTTTAAGGCCCTGCTTTCAACAGGAGGTTAGACCAGATGATCTCCAGAGGACCCTTCCAACGCAGACTTTTTTGTGATTCTACAATTCTTCAAGCCTGGGAGACGCAAAGCTAAGACAAAACTGTTACTTCACAAAGGAATCTTTATTTCTATTTCCTTATATACCTTTATAACTTTGACCCCAAGTCCCTCACCAAGTGTAGGTCACTTGGCACAGCAGAAGGTTTCCTAGTCAATAGCAGTAATGGCGTAGGTATGTAGGACCCTTTATCTGTTCCCATCTTCTGGAACTTGCTGACCACTTAGCTCTTTCCCACTATTTTGTAATATTTAGGACATCTGTTCTGGTTGTGAAGCTTTTACACTTACTATATTTATCTCATCTCTGATGCTCATAACAATTGACTTCTACCACACTTATCAATTACCATGTTCATTGTCCTTAGTATGACATCCAGCTACTTTGTCTCTTGCAACACACAGAAAATTATAGGCACAAGCCAGAATACAAACAGAAGTCCATTTATGGTTCAGCAAACAGAGCTGAAAGCAAAGCATGTACCAGAAACCTCCCTCTTTCACTTCTCTCAGAATTCCTGCAGTTCAGATGGACCCAGAGGGTTGATCTTACATATACAGCTAGAGACAGCCAATAACCAAATAAGGAATATTTTCAATCCTTTCAATTACAGCTTCACATTCTACCTATTGCAAACATTTATTCTCCTTTCTCCTCACATATATTTGATACCTTAGCCATAATGAAAGAAATGGTTAAATATTAGACACAGGAGCTAAACTTCACAGGCTGTATACCATAGCACAGATGCACAGACATGCACAATGCAATACATATATTGTAAGGCACATTAAGTCATCGTACCCATCTTTGCAAATACCATGTTTGTGCATATACCACGTTTGT